CACAGACGTTTGGCCTCCTTTGATTCATCCTTTTGACCAAGTTGCAATGGCTGTAAGGTCATGAGAATGGTGGCAGGCAAGACGAAGCGCAGTTGCTTCAAGCAATAAAGGAGACTCCGAAGCTGATCGCCCCATATTGGCGTCATGGTTGGGTCCAGAAAGGTGCGGGCATCACATGTGTGTTTTACTTGGTTTGCGCGTACGAGCTATGGAAACAATATTGGACCATCCATCAACTGGAAGTCCATCAGCAAATTGCACACCCCAGTAATTTTTGCCATTGCGTTTTCGAGGGCATGATTCTAAGGATAGCTTCTGAGGTGTAGGGGGGTGTGTGTGTGTGTGTGTGCGTGTGTGTGTGTGTGTGTGTTCAACATGGCTCGACAACAAGGTTCCTAATTCCTCCAAACGATGGCCAACCAGTGTCAAAGAAGAACAGGATAGCTCGCAAACATTCCAATCTCGCCTTAGGCGAGTGGGTCAACTGTGGACGAAGTGTTTGAGCCATGCGACCAGGACGAAGCCGCGGTTCACTGAGACTCCGGGTGTGCTTCATTCAGGGCGTCACATGACGAGACATAGCACAGGCACGGCATTCCCAGTCTAGGGTCAAGCTATGAGCTCTAGTTGCCTTGAGATGACTGCCAGATGCCAAGGAGGCTAGCTAGCTCAGGCCCGCTCTGTCACGATGTCCATGTTGCTCAGTTCAGAGATACCTCGAGAGGTCATTGCCAAATACGAAACTCAAAAGGCACAAAAAGCGTGCCTGTCAGGTGCCGAACGGCCTCGGTCGCAGAACGGAACGAACGGCTGTTGATCTCCAAAAGAACCATACTTGGTAAGCATCTCCCTTCGAAGGGGGAGATTGCAAAACAACATGACATCTCCATCTTTCCCAACACCATCTTTCTGGTGGTTAGATAATAGAGAGAGGCATGCCCAAATGACCCACTTCCAGTGATCTAAGCCTCTGGCCGTCCGCAGTTGCTCTCCAAACTCTCTTGCAGGAGTCTTCTCAGACCAGCCGAACACTGCAGACTGGCCATTGAAAGCACAAGTGGCTGCTTGCGGGTGCAGTTTTTGAAATTGTTATATATACTGAACCAAACGAGTGCTCAAATGGGGGGTCTACAGAACCCTAGCACCTACAAAGTGAAAAGGATGTAATTACATGAGAGCCTGGAGGAGGACCAACTTTTGAGCGGCCATGTGATTCAGCTGGCCACCCGGGCCTTCTCTTCAAAGAGAATCGTGACAGACACAGAAGTAGCGCTTGGGCGTGCTGAAGATTGGGACCTCGGGTGAGATGCTCCAATGTAGACTGTTGATGAAAAATTTCACCCTAATGGAACATGCATCTTCATATGGGAAGCCGGGTCATTCGTCAACAGTCTCTACGTGAGGGAACAGTGAAAGAATGCTATTGGCGGAGGCCATCGCTTCCAGGTTGGAGGACAGCACGGCCTTTGAAAAATGTATCAAGACTTGTTTAATAGCACAACAACCTAATGGCGCTGTCCGCACATCCACCCACCAAGCCGAGACCGTCTCATATGAACAGCCCTGTGTGTTCAACTATATAAAGGCTTGTGGGCGAAATCTATCGAAAACAGTCATGAACTAGAGACCACCCAAGTTCCTTGGGATCAATCATGGAATCAGTGGGAATTCGACAACTGTCCATGCCAGTGGAAGTCCTTTCGGATTTGTCTAAAGCACGGCTCTGCCAGCCTCTGGGCTTCCAGCTCAAGTGAAGACTCTGATCGCGCAGGCAAGACATTTGAGTTGCTCGCAATCATGGTCAACGCTTGGAGATCGGCGCAAAAGGTCAGATTCTTGAGATTTGTCACCATGCAGGTGCTTTGAGTTTCGATCCAGCTCCATTTCTGGCCATGTACATTCGTGTTTTCAGAGCTTCCTTGTCATTGGTTTCTTGTGAAGTCTGTTCAGCAAGTGTCCTTCTTCATGTCCATGTCTCTACACTTTGTGAGTTGTGGGGTGAATGCCAACAAGAACAGGCTCCAACAACTTGAATACGAGGCGACGATATGCATACGTATCGTTAAGAGCTTGAGCTGCATCCCAGAGGAGATCAGGAGGATTTGTCTTTGAACTTCGTTTGGACCCATGACCAGCTCTCCGCCACGGGTGTCCGAAATTGAATCACCTTGCGTGTGCATCTCGGCATGGCCGGATAGTAGACCTGGCTGGTGTCCTTCATTGCAGCCATGTTTTCGGCATCAAGGAATGGACTTTGACCACACCGCTCTCCTCGTCTCCCAAAATATGGAAGTACTCTTCGCCAGACTCGCCGATGGTCACCTCCGCACCAAACCTCGACAGGAAATGTGCCAAACATCGCAACATCTTTCGTTCTTGGATCACTTTTCCCTTGCAAGTGTCCAAAGCTGAAGGCATCCCCGACAAAGAAGACGACTTGTGCGCTTCAGCAGGTCCCACACTTCAGTAATCCTGCTTTTTGCTCAAGACAATCACCGAAGTTGTTAGATGCCGTCCAAACTTCTGAGACATAGCAAGAGCAACACACCTGCTTAACTTGCCCTAACCTCCGGACTCTCCCAAACTGAGAGCTTGGCAGCCCCGGAAGTCCCGCAATCTCGGCCATGGTTCGGCAACTCCAACCTCGGCGTGGAATGAATACATCAACTGAAAACCTGCCAATGCCTCAGTAAGATGCAGTTCTTCTGAGCTGCTGGCTATTAAAGCTTCCTGCAATGCCAAACCTGGTGGCTCCGGCCAGCGGTGCGACAAGTGCAAAAATGGCCTTCCTTCTTATAAACATAATTCCATTTTTGGGCTTTAAAGATTCGGTCTCAATCACTTTGGACACAAGCACTACTGCTCGAGGCAAAACCATTGAGAACCCATACCAAGATGGAGATGGAGGGGTACTCTTTCATCTTTCAGCCATCGATGGCTTGTCCAAGCCCTCATGTCCAACACCCAAGACGCACGGTGGCTCGCCAAAACAACATAGTCGACATTGAAATTACAAAAATCAAGCGGCAGCAACCTTCAGGCTCAGATTACCAAAACTGTTTCTTCCTCAGCATGAGTCATCACAAAGTCTCTTTGTAATTATGTTTTTGTTCGCGGTCTTGCACATCCAAAGAACACTTGCAATGTCCTCCCCTACTGGCACGCATGAGTGACTTCACCGCCTGCGTACAGCACCCCATCGGTCGTACCCATAGTTCTAATATGGCCTACTAAGGCGCACGTTAGACAATTCCTATCACTGTCATCCACTTTGCAACAGTGGCGGGGCCCATGGTCTTTTTCCAGGTGCACCCCATACCGGGACAGCGGTGTGACAAGTGCGATGGCCATCTTGCGAGCTGGGCAAGGCCGGAGATAGTCCCACTGGAGAAAAGGAACCTGGTCTGACAAAAAAAATTATACCGGCATAGGCCCCAGATAGCACTTCAAGAAAAGGATAGCATGGCAAGAGCGGGAGACAAGCTTGCGGAGACATCCCACTCAAAGCAGGGAAAAGGATGGAAAAGCTAAACAAGACCTAAATCATCTTATAACAGCATCCGCGTCAAAGGCAGGCAAGAAAATGACAAGCCGGCAGAGGCAGCCAAGAGCGAAGTTATGAAGGGAGACAAGCTTGAGAAACAAGACGGCAGCGGCAGCCAAGAGCGAAATCATGAAGCGAGACAAGCTTGAGACCAAGGCGGCAGCGGCAGCCAAAAGCGAAATCATGAAGGGAGACAAGC